CTCATTACAGATGGCTGTGAGCCACCATGTGGTTGCTGGGAATTGAACTCAGGTCCTCTGGAAGAGCAGGCAGTGCTCTTAACCTCTGAGCCAGCTCTCTCTCCTTTTCACTCACCTGGACTCCAGCCTATATATGGGATGATGCTGTCCACAGTTAAGAGTGAAGCTTCTCGCCTCAGTTTACCTACAGACACATTCAGGTCTTGTCACACTGACAATATTAATCATCACAACCACTAACTTGGAGCCCAAATGTGGCATCAGCAATTATAACATTAGTTTCCTTAATGGAAGAACATTTTGTTTACTTCTGGTGAGTTGAGAGGCTCTGTGGGAAGCCTGTGACATTGCTTTAGCCTCTCAAAAGGCATGATGATATAACAAATCAAAACATTGGTGTCTTTCTTTGCTTGACACTCACTTTTTCTTCTCCATCACATGGAAACTTTGATCTACTAACGGCCCGAGGCCCTAGCCACCAACTGTAGCCTCTCCCATGGGAGGTGCATGAAGGTTGAAGCAGGGTGGGGGGTCCCTGTGATGCAGAGGTTCAGCGAGTGGATTTCCCACAGAAGACCTAGGCCTCATCAGTCAGTGACAGTTGTGTAGCCTCCTAGGAAAGCATCATCCTCTGGAGTCTTGGTTAAACGATAAATCCTATTGCTAAGATCCTGAGGAAAATAAACCAAAACGATGTTAATGTCTACAAACTGAACTAATGCTCTTCCAACAGCCTATTCGGTGCTGATGATCCCGGGAAGCAGAGGCCTGGGCACACGTTTTGTTCAGGGTTCCTCCAAGTCCAAGGTGCCATGAGGAGAAACATGGGCTTGGGTTCCTCCTTAAAGCCTCAGCATGAACCAAAGAGATTTACTGGAGTTGTGTATGGGAGTATTGGTGAGGGGTCACTTGCTGGAGTAAAAATGACCCACAGACAGCAGCATCACCAAAGCCACCCCAGCATGGGTGACAGCTCACAAAGCTTGGGACCTGGAGGGCAAACTGCACAGCCTAAGGCAGCTCAGCAGGGATAGCATCCTCTCCAGCTGCCTCAGTTGGTCTAAACCTCTTCCAGGCAGCTGGTCTTGCCTAAGAGCCTTCTTCGCAGCTAGCTCGTCTTGTCTGAGAGTATTTACAGCGCCTGTGGCTTACTCTGGCAGGGAGGGGAAAGGGGCCCAGGGAATCTGGTCAGTTTCAGGAACTTCCTGAAGCTATTTTGAGTTGTTTGTCTTCCTAATTAAGGAGTTTCCTTACAGGATGGTATGTTTCAATCTTGCAGGAAACTTACACAACAACCTCTTCTTATCCCTTACTTCCTCAACCCTTATGAAGCCTGTACAGTGGACCGGAAAAGTCACAGATGTTGAGTGAGCCTGACTCTGGAGCTTTCTGCTTCATCTTTGTCAAGTGATGACTGTAACTGGGTGTCAGCTTGCTATCGAATACGTACTTAACAATAACTTTAAATATATATTTAATAATGTTATTAAAAAGTAGTGCAGAGCTTGGCACAAGTTTAATGGATACTCGTTCAGAGGCTGGAACACCAGAGGCTGCATTGATCTTTGGCCTAAAAGAGCCCAAAATTTAAAAAAAGAAAATAAACAGATGAAGCATAGGAACCAAAGGTTTTCATGAGACTCGGGCACAACAGTAGTTGCTAGAGGAATGCAGCTGGAAGCCACCATGAGGTTACACCATACACCTGTTAGAATGGATGGCATTAAAAGTTGTCTGTACCAAGTCTTGCCAAGTATGTGGAGAAACTAAGTCTCCTAAACTGCTGGTGGAATGTCAGATGATCTCCCTTCTTCAGAAAAGAGTTGGGCAGGGACTGAGGATGTGGGTCAGTTGATAGAGCGCTTGCCTTGGATGCTGGAAGTCCTAAGAGGTCCCAGGCTCCATCCCCAGCGCACATAAACACACGATCTCAGTATGTAGACCACAGTGGAAGCAAGAGGTGAAGAAATGCAAAGTCACTCTTGAGTACATGTATAGTCTGAGGCTTGCCTGGGCTGCGTGAGACCTTGTTTATTTACTTATTTTAAAGGAAACGGTTGGACAGTTTCTTAGGAAGTTAAGTGTATACCAGCTGTGAGACCTGGGCTTTACTCCAGAGGAAAAGAGTCTATACAGAGATGCTTGCCCAAATGTTGATAGCAACAGTACGGGAAAGCCCCCAAGTAGGAATATATCTCTGTCGTCTACCCCTACCCCTGAATCCTACATGGCAACAAAGAAGAACAAAGAGAACTGTTGATATCCACCCGGACAAGAGTAAATCCAAGATAATTACGCCGTGACAGAAACCAGATAAAGAGGTATACAGTCCAGGTGCCACTTAAATAAACGCTTGACACAAACTAATCTGGGATGATAGTAAACAGAGCCATAGTTGCCCGGGGAAGGGAGCTCCAGAGTGGATTACAGAAGAGGGGAGGGCATGGGACTCACTGGGGTGGCAGATGGGCTTGCTTTCTTCATTGTGCTGACTCTGTAGGCATTTGTCAATGTCAGCATGTATCACATCACACTTTAAATGCAGACTGGCAAAGTGCTCAGTCTGGTGACCTGAAGTTCTATCCCTAGAACCCACACAATGAAAATAGAGAACAGAATCCCCAATGTTCTTCTCTGACTTCTGTGTGTGTGCCATGTTATGTACACACACACACACACACACACACACACAGAAATGACATACATGGGCAGTTCACTGAATGGCACACCTCACAAAAGCTGTTCTTATGCAGGGAAACTATGGTTCACACCTGTGAACACAGCACTCAGGAGGCCGAGACAGGAGTGTTGGTAAGAGTCTGGAGACTAGACTAGAGGGTAGCTAGTTTGCAGGGAAAGGCGCCTGCCTTTGCCTCTTGTCTCCTAAACGCTTATGCTCCACTCATTTTCCTCTTGGCTCGGTAAAAGCTGTTGACATTTCATTTCTTTTTGGGTGTTTGCTTAAATCTTGTGGCCTCAGGATCAACAGCTTGCTCTTTCCTCCAGGGTTGGCTGGATCCAATCACCTTTCTTCCTCATCCCATTGCAGTATCTGGAGAGCCTGTCTCCAAGCGACAGAGAAGTATTTATAGTTGAACGAATGCAGTCTGGAATACTGGGCAAAAGGAAAAGGACAGGGCTACACTGTCACTTGCAGAAGGGTGCATTTTTATGGGAAGGGCCTTGTGGTTGAAGTTTGGGGCAGAGATGGCCTTTGGGGTTTGTGTGGGGGCAACAAGGCAAAATGGGCGGTGGGCCAGGCTGGCAGTGTGAGGTCGGGGCATGGCTGTTCTTCGGCCTGAACCCTGAGCAGGACAGACGATGAAGGCGAGGAGGGAGTCCCATCTCTTCGTGAGGTGCTGCACACATAGAGTGAATAGCCACACAGAGATTAAATGGGCTCAGATTCCATATTTCAAACCTCCCAGCAGGCTGACCTTTCTAGAAATTGGCTTGTGGGGAGGGGGATAGTAGGGCCTTTTTTAAATGAAGGTCTCCATGCTAGGCACACTTCCCAGAGTGTGAATCCCAACTCAACTCGCTTTTCCCCCCACTTTTTCTCTCCAAGAGGAACTTTTCTATCCATTTGCCACTCATCCACACCAAATATTGTCCTACTGATGTGGCATTGCATGGCTGTTCTTTACTCCATGAACAACAGTTTGAACATGGAGTTTCCTTCCTTGTTTTGTGTCTGTGCTTGGCAGTCCACATGATGAGGAACGATGCTTGCAGCCCAAAGAAATGAATTGAGGAGAGTCAGGCAGGAGACCAGAGGCAGTAAGTAACAAGATAAGGCAGAATTAGGAGAGAGTGCTTTTGGGCGGGTTACAAAGAGTGGGTAAGGCCTTCTAAGTCCAGCTAATCCTGGGAGGTTGGTGGTCATCAGGGTCACCTTGGAAACGCCCTAAATCTTATGAGCAAGATTTGATGGCTGTGGCCTTTTTTCCCCCCTGAGCCTTAATGAGACAATTCACTTCTTGGGACTAGGCTGGTAGATGTAGGTAATATGTAATGTTTTCTCTTTGCTTGAGTGGTTGCTATCTGGACATTTTATAAAGAGTGTAGTGGGTTAGACTTTTTGGTAGTAATTAGTTTGTTGATTTAAAATAGAAAATCTGGCTGGACATAGTGTCACACGCCTTTTATCCCACAGCATGTGTAAAGCACAGGCAGGCTGGTTTCTGTGAGTTCGAGGCCAGCCTCGTCTACACAGTGAGTAAGTTCCAAGAGAGCCAAAGCTACATAGTAAGACCCTGTCTCGAGGAAAAGACCGAACTCTGAGGCAGAAGCAAGTAGATCTCTGAGAGTTCAAGGTCAACCTGGTATACATAATGAATTCCAGGATAGCCAGGGATGCATAGAGAGCTTTATCTCAATCAATCAATCAATCAATCAATCAATCAGTCAAAATAGGAACTCTGAAATAATACAATAAGTTGGTTATCATCGGCTGAGTGCTGGGGAGAGCTCTGAAACACATACGTATAATTCACATAAAATTAAAACTTTAGCCAGTCATGTTGCCACATACCTGTAATCCCAGTACTCAGGAGCCTGGGGTAGGAGGACTGTTATGAGTTTAAAGCCATTGTGAGCTATATAATGAATTCTAGACCAGGCCGGGCTACAGAGTAAGAACCTATTTCATCAATATACTTAAACATATTCAAACACTTTTGAGGTTGGATTTTTTCCTCCCGAGCTATGTTATAGTCATGGTGTGGTTAGGATTTGGTTTTCCAAATGGTGGGAGCCTTTGAAAGCTCTGGGCAGGTGTAGGGGCAGTGTGTGTGTGTGTGTGTGTGTGTGTGTGTGTGTGTGCCTTTGTGGAGGGTGTTGATGGTGGCTGTTTTCTGTTTTTGTAAGGACTGAGCACCGAGACACCCATGGGTGCGATATTGTGGCAGGGGGCAGTATTTCTGTTTTGTTGGTTGGCTTTTCATGGTTTTCTAACCCCAGGTTCTCTCCTGACTTGGTGTTGTCCTCTTGCCTCGCAGGAGCCTGTGTGAAATGCAGCAAAGGCGTGTTTGGAGCCGGCCAGGCCTGTCAGGCCATGGGGGACCTCTACCACGATGCATGCTTCACCTGCGCAGCCTGCAGTAAGTGTGGGGTGGGGGGTGGAAGGCGGAGCTGGGACAGAGGGTGGGGGTGGGACCCACAGCTTCCGGCACATGCAGGCAGTGTGGCTCCAGCACGGAGTCACGCCCCGCCTGGACAGTATCCTTCAGAGCAAGGGTTCTCTACCCCTAATACAAGGATAGCGAAGTAAGGTGACTTACCTCTAAGTGTTTAAGATGGTGATGGTAAGTTGGGTGGCTCCAAACCCATCCTTAGTAACACTAGGTTTGTAATGTGCAGTGGAGGTCTCAGGAACAGAGGGGAGAGGTGCTCAGGGCCATGTCACTTTGTCTCCCCTACCTGGGGGGGGGCACACAGCTAGTGGGCCGCCCGTCAGCCACTGCACCTAGTGTGACCCTCTTGGCTGATTTGAAGAATGTTGTGCGAATGTGCATACATCACAAATACAGACACACTGGAGCCTTCAGTACGACTCAGGCCGTCGTCACTTCCAGTGCATTGTAAGGACAGACACTGACTGGTCACTGTTGGAGTCTGACAGACAGAATGATTGCACATCTGACCGAGTCATGGACTGTATTTGATTCCGGCCTCTGCTGAAGATCAGAGGAGATTTTTGTAAAGGAAGTTCCTCTCTCTGTCTCCCTCCCTTTTTCCTGCATTTCCTTTCTGTTCTGAAAGTCGGCTCAGCCTGGGCCCTGGTGGTACACAGCATGCCTTTAATCCCAGCACTCAGCTCTTGGGTTGGGGTTGTGTGGGTGGATCTCAGTTCATCCGGCCTGGTCTATAAGGTTCCAGGATATCTCAGAGAGGGGGAAAGAGGGAAGGAGAGGGAAAGAGAGAAAGAAAGAACGTTATCTCTTCATTGGGTCATAATGCCACACACAGAGCAATTTCTGCCATGTCTGTGCCTTGATCCACATAATGAGCCTTTCTAACATCTCATCCTCTTCTGTGGTTACACTCACCTACCCCATGTGTTTGATCATCAGTCCCAAGAGAGCGAACCCGGTTAAGGTCGAGGGTGGCAAGACACTGATGTGTCATCGGTTTTTTTGTTTTTGTGTGTAAGAATGATGTGAACATTATAACACCTAAGTTTTAGGGAAAAGTAAGGAACAGTATATGGACAATACATACATGAAATATGTTAGGCAAAATGTCATCGGTGGGGCTGGAGAGATGGCTCGGGGTTAAGAGCTCTGGCTGCTCTTTCGGAGGACCTGCGTTTGATTACCAGCACCACAGAGGGGCTCATAACTATCTCTAACTCTAGTTCCAGGAGACCTGATGCCTTCTTATGGCCTTCACAGGGGCCAGGCAAGTACACAGACAGATATGTATGCAAGCAAAGCATCGTGTGTGTGTGTGTGTGTGTGTGTGTGTGTGTGTGTGTGTGTGTGTGTGTGAGAGAGAGAGAGAGAGAGAGAGAGAGAGAGAGAGAGGTCTGTGCTCAAAGGATATAATTTAAAAGGTTTAAAGATGCAGTTTAAATGTAAAGCATTTTTTGTTTGGTTTTCTAATTGTTGTAACAAGATACTTGACTAGGCAGCCTCTCAGAAGGAAAGGTTTATTTGGGCACGGAGCTGGAGAGTATCGTCCATAATGACAGGTTATGGGCCAGCTGGTCAAATTGCATCTATACTCAGGAAGCAGAGAGAAGTGAACGCTGGTAAGAAGGAAGCCCTCTGTTTTGTTCAGCCCAGGACCCCAACACATGGGATGCTGCTGCTCACCTTTAGAGTATGTCCCCCTACCTCAATTAACCTGGTCTAGGCAACTCCCACTTTGATGTGGCAAGAGGTTTGTATCCTAGGTGACTCTGTATCTTGTCAAGTTGATAGCCCAAATTAATCATTATAAATACCATGTGTTTCATTTCAGAAGCTTCCTGGGGTGAGTCGGGTCAGTGAGAAGACCCTGCTTACCACGGTCTAGCCTGGCAGATTTCCCCCAGGTTCCCTGGCTAGTTAATGCTGGCTAACCTGCCTCTGTACTGCCATCTCCAAGAGTTCTTACCCTCACACTTCCATTCTACTGCAGTTTCCCTTAAAACGCGCCTGAGAGCATTCATCATGTTCAGTTTTTAGGGGAAAATTAGAAAAAACAAAAAAAAACAAAACAAAACAAAACAAAACAAAACAAACAAACAAAAAAAAAAACGAGATGGGTCAGGAAGTCCCCTGCGTGTCCCGGGTTGTTGGGTCTCCGAGTCTTCCTGCCTTCCTTGTCTCTGAGCTCTGTTACACTCAGAGGTGAGTCAGGGAATTTCCTGTGTTTCTGGAGTCCTGGGATCTCTGGGTCTCCAGGCTTTCTTGTGTCTGAGCTCCATTGCTCACGTGACTTACACACAACAATGTGAGCTGTGTCTGCTAGAGATGCAGATATTTCTTATTGCTGTGGAGCCTGACCGGTTTTGTGTCTATTAAACAATTTTCCCCTTCAGCATTCCTAATGTCCATGATATAAATCCTTTTTGCATTCTCCCAATAGCATGTTGCCAGTATCATTAGTTGATACATTATTTGACCTGTTTGTGGTTTGTCTATACCAACAATGTAACCAGGCCTCCTGTTTGTGGTTTGTCTATGTGGACAATGTAACCAGGGCTCTTTAAAACTTATCTTTGAGGGGCTAAGGATATAGCTCAGTAGATAGAGTACTTGCCTAGCGTGCATTGGAACGCCTTGGGTTCAATTCCCAGTACCGCTTAAATCATGCATGATGTGAACACCTATAATCAATACCACCATGAAGAATAAGAGTTTGGCGCCATCCTTAGTTACATGCAAGTGAGTTCAAGGATAACCTGGGCAACATGTTCAAAAGAAAACTTACCTTGGTTGGGACTTTGGCTCTTCCAAGTGTCCTTTTATTTTTAAAATTATAATATAATCGTTTTATATTTTATATTTATATTTGTCACTTATCCCTTCCTTTTCTTCCCTCCAAACCCTTCCACACACCCCTCCTTGCCCTCTTTCAAATTCATGGCTTCGTTTTTTTCATTAAATGCTGTTGCATGCATGTGTAAGTGTGAGTGTGTATCCCTAAATTATTCCTAAATACAACCTGCTGCAGCCTGTCTAAAGTTACTTGTATTTTTGTTTTTAGGACTGACTGCTGTTAGGTAACCAATTGGTGTGCTGTTTCCTGAGAAGACTAATAACTACTTCTTAATATTTGCTCTGTTTACCATGGGAAAGAAAAATACCAAGTAGAGATTTTCCTTCCCTTTCTTCCTCTTCCTCTTTTCTCCTCTCCTCTCCTCTTCCCTTCCTTCCTTCCTTCCTTCTTTCCTTCCTTCCTTCCTCTCTTTTAATTTCAGGCAGTATTGTTTGAACTAGGAAAGCTGTTAGCAGGCAGAAGCCTACTAATTACTATGGGCATGTGCTGTATCAAAGCATCACGGACCAAGTGGCTGGTAAACAGCCACATGGACTGCTCACAGTGGAGGCTGGGAAGCCAAGGTCAGGCACCAGCGTATTTAGTGTTTGAAGGGGCCTGCTTCCTGGTTCGTAGATGACCTTCCTGGAATCCTCACAGAAGAGGGATGGAAGCTCTCAGAGGGCCTTCTCAGAGTCATCCCAGAGCTCTGACCTCCTTCATAAGTTTCCATCTCCCAAGACCTGCCTCCTGGTGTGAGCGCCTTGGAGCCTGGCATCTAGCATAAGAAATTTAGGGGAATGTGGTGCATCAGTCATTTACCTGTGGCTGTTCGAATAGCATCTGTTTCTTTCTTTCTTTCTTTCTTTTTTTTAATAGCATCTGTTTCTTAATGGACTGTTTAGACGGCCTCAAATGGCATCACACAGACACTTATGGACTTAGGTGGACCTAGTCTCTTTTAAATTTTTAATATAATTCACACTGTATTCTGGCTTGAGTGTGGGGCTCCTCCAAAATTCCTGTTGACGTACACTGGCCAGAGTGATAGTTGGTAGTACTTGGAGGTGGGAGCCCCTGGATGGTGGTTAGGGTTAGTTGGGGTTGTGAGGATGGAGCTCCCCGATTGCTTTAGAACAGAAGGACAGACCGCTATCATTCTGAAACGCCTTGTGCTACACCTTTAACCTCTTCAAAGTCCCTTTAGGAAGAAGATCCTCATTGGATGTGACCTTTCCATTTGGGAGATTTACAACTGTGAGCGGAGTAGACTTTTTTCCCTTCATAAGTCATCCAGACTGTGGCATTCCGTTATAGCATAGAAAACAGACTAAGACAAAATGACAACTGGAAAGAATACGTCAGGCTTGCATTGTGCTCAAGGAGCGTCAGTGCGCACACTTTACTATGCGCATTGGCCTGAAGGTCTCCTATCTCTGTAGAAACGAGAGGCTGGCTGCAGACTCCTTCTCACCTACTTCGTGTTTCTGAAGCTACATACAAGGCGTTCCACCAAGGCTCAGGCAGACCTTTGTCTTTCTAGGTATGGGCACTGTGTACAGGTTTGTCCACTCACCCGCCCCTTGATGAGGCGCTGTGTTTAGTTCGTTTTTAGATATGAGAACCACATGGTAACCGCAGAGAATAATTTAAAAACAGGAGAAACGAATTGCCTTGTAGCGCATCTGTTTCCACTCTGGTGTTTCCCCTCCAGTCTTTATCCAGATTTGCATACCTTCAGGGTTGTGACCAAAATATGCCCACGGTTCGTCCTCTTATCACCTGTATTTGCGCCAGTACCCACTTATCATAGCACAGCCTTACTGCACTTAGCTCCTTTTGGCTTATGAGTTATTAGATGTTGCTTTCCCCACCCCACGCCCCCTCCTCTGAGCTGTGTCCTTGGAGTTTCTTCCAAGAAGTGGTCATTCAGGGAGTGAATGTGTGGGTATCTGTGTGGGTTGTTCAGGTTCTGTTTCCTGGTGAGCTCCTCGGCGCCTGGGTGTTTGGTTGCTGTGGAGATATGTGCTGAAGTTTTACTTCTCCTAACTCATGCTTTACCCATGGTGACTGTGGCTCCAACAAGAGGCTCTTAGGAAGCTGGAGGTCCACCCTTGGGGAGACAGTGACAGTG